ACCCAAATTAATAAGAAAAAGCGTTTTCCCGAGAAATTTTGGTGTAGTCGATTTTTGGTAAAAAAGAAAGGTTATACACTGCCTTTTTTTGAGCTCCGCAAAAAAATATCTCAGATCGACCCGGAAAAAAAATTTTCTTATAGAATGGGGCCTGTGAAATCCATAATTTCAAACAGTTCCAAGATTGGGCTGCTAGTTCAAAAGTTACAGCCCTTGGAATTTTTTTTCGAAATTAGTTTCTAGTCTATAACCTTTGATTGAGAAGTATAATCGAAAAAGTAAGCATTGTTTTGGATTCTACGCACCAAAATTAATAAGAAAAAGTGTTTTCCCGAGAAATTTTGGTGTAGTCGATTTTTGGTAAAAAAGGAAAGTTATACACCGCCTTTTTTTGAGCCCCGAAAAAAAAATTGTCTCAGATCGACCCGGAAAAAAAAATTTCTTGTAGAATGTGGCCTGTAGAATCCATAATTTCAAACAGTTCCAAGATTGGGCTACTAGTTCAAAAGTTACAGCCCTTTGAATTTTTTTTCGAATTTCTTTTCTAGCCTATAACTTTTGATTGAGAAGTCTGATCGAAAAAATACGAATTGATTTGGATTCTACGCACCCAAATTAATAAGAAAGAGTGTTTCCAGAGAAATTTTGGTGTAGTCGAATTTTGGTAAAAAAGGAAGGTTATACTCTCACACTTCTATAAACATTTCGAAATCCTCAGTCCCTGTTGAATACACGTACCTCCCTTATTCTAGGCTCTGTGCAAAATTGCAAAAATATTGTACACCTCGCCCCCCTTGCCATAGTTCCGTCAATTACAAATATTTAATTAGTTTAATTGCACAGGAGAAACCACTCCTTTGGTCGCTTCTCATAAGACAAATGGATCTTCTGCTTGTAGGTTACAGAAAGAACGAGCCGAAAAAGAGAAGCGGGCGGACCAGTCAGCGGATGTCCTTCCAAAGTTACCGTCTCAAGGAGCCAATTCCATCACAGGCAAAAATAGCAGGTAGGTATCCTACACTCCCCATAATCTTTAACTTCTTTAAAGCTGAAACGCTTCCATTTTTAGTTACAGATCCGATAGCGATACTTTGGATATATCGTATAATTGTTAATTTGTTTAGTTTTTTAAATATTTAAGCCTATACCGTTTATTGTTCTGTTGATTATTGTGAGAAAAACTGTATAGTGCACTCGAAAGTCACGTAGTGACTCTAAGCTTAAGGCCATTGTAATGTTACAAAGTTTACGTCTGTAAGTTGTAGTAACCACCAGTTTTCTTATAACAGTGTCTAATTTGGCTGTTAAAAGTATAATTATTAATTATTAAGCATTTAAGTAATGCACGGTTCCAAGATTGGGCTACTAGTTCAAAAGTTACAGCCCTTTGAATTTTTTTTCGAAATTGTTATCTAGCCTATAACTTTTGATTGAGAAGTCTGATCGAAAAAATACGAATTGATTTGGATTCTACGCACCCAAATTAATAAGAAAGAGTGTTTTCCAGAGAAATTTTGGTGTAGTCGAATTTTGGTAAAAAAGGAAGGTTATACTCTCACACTTCTATAAACATTTCGAAATCCTCAGTCCCTGTTGAATACACGTACCTCCCTTATTCTAGGCTCTGTGCAAAATTGCAAAAATATTGTACACCTCGCCCCCCTTGCCATAGTTCCGTCAATTACAAATATTTAATTAGTTTAATTGCACAGGAGAAACCACTCCTTTGGTCGCTTCTCATAAGACAAATGGATCTTCTGCTTGTAGGTTACAGAAAGAACGAGCCGAAAAAGAGAAGCGGGCGGACCAGTCAGCGGATGTCCTTCCAAAGTTACCGTCTCAAGGAGCCAATTCCATCACAGGCAAAAATAGCAGGTAGGTATCCTACACTCCCCATAATCTTTAACTTCTTTAAAGCTGAAACGCTTCCATTTTTAGTTACAGATCCGATAGCGATACTTTGGATATATCGTATAATTGTTAATTTGTTTAGTTTTTTAAATATTTAAGCCTATACCGTTTATTGTTCTGTTGATTATTGTGAGAAAAACTGTATAGTGCACTCGAAAGTCACGTAGTGACTCTAAGCTTAAGGCCATTGTAATGTTACAAAGTTTACGTCTGTAAGTTGTAGTAACCACCAGTTTTCTTATAACAGTGTCTAATTTGGCTGTTAAAAGTATAATTATTAATTATTAAGCATTTAAGTAATGCACGGATTGACAACAAAAGTGAGATGTTTAGATGTACGACCTAACTATTTCCGGTCACATGATACAGAGCTGTGATTTTAGTTTAGTGAAGTTCAAATGATTCGTAATTATTGCTACTGTATGAGATGGCCAACGATTACGAATAATTTTAACGCTCAAGTTAGTAGTTTCGTTTAGTTTTTAGCTTCCTTAATTAAGAGAAGGGTTGATTTTTGAACTATTTTCCACTGCCATTTTAGACTAGAATCGGCGATTTAAGGACAGCGTACTCTACTTTTTTGGTCTACCTTAATAGAAAACTTGTACCTACTCAGAAGCAATACACAAACCTTATTTCTCTCCTTACTTAGTCGATATTTATTAACCGAAGAAAACTGCGACGCAATCCTTAGAAGTCATAAAACTGTAGTTAATTCTGCTCATACATATCACTGTAGAATAGAATAGGTTAATTGTACGTTAAAGGAGTGAAGCTATAAAATTTCGTTTGTGTATTGTGTTTCGGCAAACAAAATTAATAACCACCGTGCTCAATACAACCTGCACAATATCGGACATTATTTAATTTTAGGGATGTTGTAAATATACGCGTCGGGTGGCGAGATCTAGGCGTCAATTGAATAATGTCCAACGTTCCGTAATTTGAATTGTCAATTAAGAGGGAAATGTTTCTTTAATTTGACTTGATAAAGTACCTGCAAATGGGATTATTTTTACGATTAAAGTGTATTTTTAAAAGAACGAGAATCACGACAAAATCCCTCCTTGTATATAGCTGTTGTTCATTTGGAAATTTTATTCTTTAAATCATGTTAAAATTCTCTTATCAACATATATATGTAGTGTATATAATAATTGATTCAACTAAAACCAATTGTAAAATATATATATGATATATACAGCATTGCAAGATAGTTAGGCCAAATTGATTAGACTAGGACAAACAAATTTATATATTATATATAACGAATTTTTGAATATTTTTGAATCAGAATATCTTGTCCAAGTTTCAACGCGAAAATGCGCAAGTATGAAAATGATTTTAATATTATAATAGTTATTGCGTTTCTCTCCAAACTGTAACACTATAACAGTCGAACCCTTTTGGATTCGTCACCGTTAACGAATCAAAGAACAATCAGCCGAAAACAATCTTGACACGTTTCATACCTACGTATTTTCCGATACGACTACGGAATGTAAGTATATTTTTAAAAAATTGGAGTAAACGGATTTTATTGCTACAGACCCCATTAGGGCTAACGGGCACGCAAAACAACACCAAAAATATCAAAATATGTAAGACGTATTTTAAAATCAATATAGGAATAAATTTTAATAATATAAAAATATATATATGATATATTCAAATTAAATTTTATAATTATACATACTTACCCAAGGATATTTAAAATTGTATTTATACCTAGATGTAGAATGTTTAACATTCGTTGTATCGATTAAGTAATATTTTTAATTCAATCGTATTCACGCTTAAAAAAGAATCCTATTCAATCCAGCAATTTAACCTTTAAAAACGTATTCATTTAGTCAATAGTTTTTGAAATGGAACGAGCGATTACCTATTTCGGAAGGATAGGCCATTCGTAAACAGCGATGATGAAGCTGCACCTACCTACCTTGTCTGTATTACTTATTGATATGATAAATTTCAAATTGTTAAACCATGTTTGTACGTGGTTCTGGTATGTCTTAAAGATGGTCACTGCACTCGCTTTACGGTGTTAACTTAATTTAAGTACTTAATTAGTTGTTATAATATGATTGTTAATATCTGTATTTATTTATGTTAAGTAGAGATTCTAGTTATCCCTTCATTCCACGAAACGAAAAAAACATTTTGTGAAATTTTTGATACTATATTTTTACAGAGTATTTTAAATTCGTGTTATAAATTGTTGCAAATTGGAAATTTAATCCTATGACGACTGTGTACCTGCCATTTCTAGTTAATGTTAATGTTTAGTTCAGAGTGCAGTTTTTAACTGTTGGTACTTTTACTATGTAATTAATAAACACTTTTCTCAATTAATATTATATTATTTAATATTATTATTGTTTATTTAGGCGAGTGAGAGAAACAGGTCTGCCAAGGCATTATAAGTCGTCCTCAGGATTTCCATTTATAACAATAACTGTACCTATGTATGTTTGCCGTTCCAGCAATTGTCGATTATTTACTTAAATATCATTATTTTCAATAATTGGGTCGCCTACATCAGGGCTTCCTGTTGTGTACTAAACATCGACTCGCAATGGTACTTCTGGTTGTTAAGTCAGTGTCTAGCCCAGTGTTTGCAGTCGTGCAGCTTGGATCCTGTGTCTATGGGGAGACCTGGGGTCCAGGATCTTCCTCGACAGACCGCTGTAATCCACATCTTCACAAACACTATCGAGACGCTCTGGTATTCGGTTATGAATTTGACCGCGTTTTGATAATGATGATCGGTGATGATCTCTTGGAGTACGAGAATTGCTGATCGTAGGCGAGGCTAAGCTGCTACTTCCAAAGGTTTACGATATTATCTAGTGCGTCCTTTCCGTGAGGTTTCCTGGTGTAACGTTTCGACTCTAACCTGCTTGAACACTCGCCTTTATCTCAACGCGCTTTATTTTCTCGAATAAGTTCGGTTCTCTTTCATTATGAAGCGGTACACGTATAACATTTCCTATACCGGCAAATTTGTAAATTTAATCAAAAATCTTTAAAGCTTAAAGTGACCATCCGTTACAGTACCCCCTTCTTCCCCATAGAAAATTTGATGTTTTGAAAACAGCAAAAACTAACAAGATCTTTGGCCTTTGACTTTCACCTAAAAACCTATTAAAAAAACATAAAAAATAAAGTATATACACCTCACTAACTTAACTTAAACTTCACCTAACTTCCTTAAATTAAAAAAAAATAACATAAAAATACATTTTATCTACCTTCTTAGTATTTGTCACTGGGGGGGTTACTGCTTGTCACTTAATTGTAAATAGGGTGGCTTTCTATTCACTTGCACTTGTCAAATTTACTAATACTTGGCACTATGTAGGTTGTTTACACGTGGGTACAAGTACTAAGCTCATATGTAAACTAAACATTAGATAAAAAATACTAGTCAGTTGTTGTTAATAAACTTCAATAAAAATAAATTTTCCTAGTTTCCATTGACTACTGCATCAGGCTATGGGCCCAGAAGAGGTGTTGTGAATATGTATTCTACAGTAGTACACGTAAAAAAGGGTCAACAGGCGCTACCAAGGGCGGCGACAGCCGGTCCATCAGAGACCCTAGCAAGATAAAGTGTTGTTAGTTGTGGCCTCTTGGGAAATTTTCGAGATTAGTACACCAAATATTTATATTTCGTTAATCGATTATGTATAAATGATCCCTAAGCAACCCCTTCAATGGCTCTTTAAAGTCAATGTTCCTTTTGGTTTTAAAATTACGAATTTTATTAGAATTCGGACGTTAATCGATTATGTATAAATGATCCCTAAGCAACCCCTTCAATGGCTCTTTAAAGTCAATGTTCCTTTTGGTTTTAAAATTACGAATTTTATTAGAATTCGGACTCTTACGTGTAGTAACCCTCGATTGCGGGGGTTGTAATTTTTGTAGTACACCAAATATTTGTATTTCGTTATTCGATTATGTATAAATGATCCATAAGCAACCCTTCAATTGCTCTTTAAAATCAAAGTTGCTTTTGGTTTTAAAATTACGAATTTTATTAGAAAATCAGACTCATATGCATAGTAATCCTCGATTGCGGGGGTGGTAATTTTTGTAGCACATCAAATACTTGTATTTCGTTAATCGATTATGTATGAATGATCCATAAGCAATCCTTCAATTGCTCTTTAAAGTCAAAGTTTCTTTTGGTTTTAAAATTATGAATTTTAGTAGGATTCGGACCCTTACGTGTAGTAATCCGCGAGTGCAGGGGTTGTAATTTTTGTAGTAGATCAAACCTTTGTATTTCGTTATTCAATTATGTATAAATGATCCATAAGCAACCCTGCAATTGCTCTGTAAACTCAAAGTTCCTTTTGGTTTTAAAATTACGAATTTTATTAGAAAATCAGACTCATATGCATAGTAATCCTCGATTGCGGGGGTTGTAATTTTTGTAATACATCAAATACTTGTATTTCGTTAATCGATTATGTATAAATGATCCATAAGCAACCCTTCAATTGCTCTTTAAAGTCAAAGTTCCTTTTGGTTTTATAATTACGAATTTTATTATAAAATTCAGATCATATGCATAGTAATCCTCGATTGCGGGGGTTGTAATTTTTGTAGTACACCAAATATTTCAATTTCATTATTCGATTATCCATAAGCAACCCTTCAATTGCTCTTTAAATCCAAAGTTCTTTTGGTTTTGTAATTAAGAATTTTATTAGAAAATTCATACTCATATGCATAGTAATCCTCGATTTCGGGGGATGTAATTTTTGTAGTACATCAAACATTTGTATTTCGTTAATCGATTATGTATAAATGGTTAAATTTTCCTTAAGCAAATATAGCAGTTAATTATCTCCCTACGTAAATAGCTCTTACGTCCTCGTAATTTTCGTGATAATCCGTATTTTTGCGGCGTGTATAAAACCGACACTTTAGAATTTATTTCGTTCAAACTTTTCCTTTTAACGATAACTATACCGGAACATACGTTGTTATATTTTACGTTCCAAACATAAATACTGATTGAGGTGGTCCTGAATTTTTGAATTACCATGTACCCATACAAAAATTTGCAATATTATAAACGTTACAGTGGATGACTTTTGTAATTTAAATTAAAACGGAAGTGGGTGCGCGATTCGATGTTTCGGTTTCGCGGGTAAATGAGAGGGGTGCGCGATTGGCATTCAGAAGGAAGAGGGTAAAATACGCAAGACAAGCTTAGCGTGTATTATATTTGGTGGAAGTGCTAATATTGTTCCACAAGTGTTTTTCCGTACACATCAACATTGATCAACGAATAAAAAACAATTTTCAACGCGAATCCAGCAATTTAGAAGGGTTTAAATGCGTTGACCTACTATCCATTTCATGTACCTACTAGGAGGGAGGCGTTACAGCTTTCGTTAAAACGCCAGTATTGATGAATCAGTTGCCATTCAAATCATATTGCTGTGAAAAGGATGTAAGATTAGATTGAGGCTCGTCGTAATAATTATGTCCTTCGTCTAAATTGAAAAAACTTGAGCCGGATACATGCATCTTCCTGTGACGTCACAGTTACACCTGCTGTTTGAGACACGTATATTAAATAAACTGAATTACGTGTCGTTGCGCGTAAGGCTGTGGGGCAATTTATCATTAGACCTTCGAATCTTGCATGGAATTGTTTATATTGTTTAAACTGCAACCTATAACGTTTGCATCATAAATAAAACAGATGATGTATTACCTGCATTGGGCGGTATTTCTTGATTTGAAGATGTAATTTAGGTAACGTATCGATTTTTCTTGTCATAAATTTGCCCAAATTAAGTTTTGGATGTATTTACCACATAATAGATATATAACAGGTATTTATATAAGTAAAAGAAAACAAGACACGAAAAATCGCATACGATTTTCAGAATTTTTTGCCACTCTTCTCGCATTCGGAAACCAGCTCAGATTCAATAGCACTGATCCTTGAACTCGAGAAAATCGATTGGCGAAGGTTTGACGTCGTTCTCGAGTTGGACGAGGAACAGACGGACAGAACTATCACATAAGAAGAATTTTGTTCTGTCGAAAAATTCCCTCAAAATGTAACGAACGTAAGGAGCAACTACAAGTCAACGAGTCGGTAAGAAAAATCAACACCATTGCCGTAACCATCGTGGAGTAACATTTTCAAACCTATACATCGTAAAAGATGATCGTAACGGTTGTCCAAAAATCGAATCTGGTTCAAACTTTATTCAACACTAGTAGCAACGGCTGTCCAAACGCGAATTGTTACAAAATTCTACCGGGAATCAGGCGACACTACTAGCTCTACTGCGATCAAGACGCGACAGACGATTTCCCTGGTAGGTAGTCATAATTTCCCCCAAAACTAATTCCTACTATTATTTTTACTAAGTACTGCTCCTTTTTAATAACACGTATAATAACTAAGTCCGCCATGGATTTTAGTTGCGCCAATTAAATAAAGATCGTTATATTCACGAGAGAAGAGAAGAATGAGGTTGTTTGTTCCCGCTGAAATTCAGCTGACTTAGCCTTTTACGATCTAAGCGTGATATCATGTCGAATTCGCACTTGTGACAAAATATCCCTAAATAAAACGACTGAATCCTCCCTCCTACAAGCTTTTAAAGTCTTCAATGGCAAAACAAGAGAGACTCTAAAGAACCGACAAATCCGAATGGCAGTAAAGGTTCTAAATGCGAAACGTTGTTAAAACCCCTTAAGAGGAAGGAGCATGAAGGCAATTAAAATCTCTTCGGAACAAAACATCGCCATGGTACAGTTGCGTTTTGACCATTTCGGTTGCGATGATGTAAAATTCGTGGAGAGCCTGGGGCCTATGCAATGAAAAAAAATCCAACGAAACTGCGAAGTAGTTTGAAGCAGCTTAGGAATTAGACGAATCCAAAGAAATGAAAAAATCTGAGAAACCCCAAGAGACGGAAAAAGTCTGAAAATTCTGAAGAATAGAAAAATACGATTCAGCAGAAGAAATAGAATCGCCTGACCAAGGGAAGAATCGAAAACTCCGAAGAATTCAAGCAAAAGAAACGGAAGAGTCTGTGAACTTGGTTCATGTGAGGAATGCGAAAAATTGGAAACAATCGGAGAAATCTGAAACGTCCCACGATACGAAAGAACTCGGAGATCCTAGTGAGGAATGTGTCCCAAGAAACGACAGCTGGTAGGGAGCCAAAAGATGAAAGATACTGAGGTGTCCTACAAATTTTTGGGAATCGAAACATCCCCTGAATCTAAAAACAGAACAAAAGAACTCTGGGAATCTGAAGTACCAAAGGAGATTGAAGGTACAGTAAAAATGCGAATGATTAAAAAAATTCAAATGAACCGAAGTATTTCAAGGATCCGAAGAATGTAAGAAAAAAGATTCCGGAAATTTCAAGCGGTAAAAAAATTGATAAATACAAAGAATAGAAAGAAGTGAAAAATCGGAAAAGCATTCGGCAGAAAGGAATAATCCAAAAAGCCTGAGGAATTTTGTACAACACCCCAAGTTAGTAGGTACAACTCCAGGAAATGTAGCAACCAGAAGGAACTGAAGGTTCAGGATTCAGGAATATTCAGGAATCATCTGAAGAATCTAAAGAAAAGGAATCTCATGAATGTTAAGCGATCGAAGGGTTTGCTAAATTTGAAGGATCGGAAGAAATCGAAAAATCTGAATTATCCGAAAAATCTGAAGAATCCGAAATATCCAAAGAACCTGAGGAGTTTGGGGAAAATTATAGAATCTCAAGAATCAAAAACTGAGAAATGTAAGGATTCACAAAATGAAGTAGAATCCTGGACATATGAAGAATAAGACGAATCCGACGAAAGCCACGAATCTATAAAGCCGAAAGAAACCGAAGGATCCGGCGACTAGGAGACACTGAATAATTTAAAATATTCAGAACATTTGCAGAAGCCGGGCAAATCTACAGAAAAAGGATATCTGGTATCTGAAGGGGCAGAAGAATTTAACAAATTTGAGAGATGAGAAGAACACATAACGTCTGCGAAGTATTTGAAGAATCCCAAAAATCTAGGAGAGCAGAAGAACCTGTAAATTTTGCAAACAATTCAAGCGTCCGATGGAGGTAAAAACCTGGAAAATTAAACATTCTGAAGAATTCTGAGCATGTGAGGAAAGTAAGGAATCGACCGAATGCTACGAACGGATCTGAAAGGTCCAAAGAAAGGAAGCATGCGGCGAATCTGAAGTACCAGGAATTACCTGAAGGGAAACATTAAAGAATTCGAAACATCCGAAGTATTCGAATGAAAATTGGAAAAGACGATTTTAAAGAATTGATAGAAGTCAAAAAATTTCAAAAGTTTGAAGGATAAGAAGAGTCTGTAGGTAGGTACAATCTAAGAAATTCGAAATATTCGGGCTTAATTATTCAAGGTGTAGGTACCATTAAATATATCTGACAGTTAATTTCCAGAGCAGGTTATCTTTCAGATACGTAGAAATTCTATGGGGCTGAATACGAGTTGCTCATTTCGGTTTCTAATTATATTTGAACACCATTCGTAGCATTATGATTTATTACAACTGGAAATGGATATACTTCTTTTGCTACCTTCTACGCTCAATTGTCCTCCATTAAAACCAACGGCGCTAACTATAGAATTGAAGTGAATCGATTCCGACGCTCGCCGTCTCGGCGCAGTGCACTGCGCGCGTTTCCTATATTATTAATAGCCCGGCGTCAGCTGATGCTACATCGTCTATCAATTCCGATTAATATTAATTAAACTCGTTAAAAGCGTCGCGACAGTTCAATCGAGTGAATTAACATGGCAAGTCTCCTACACGTCGATTCGAGCGCGACATTTATGGCCGACGAAGTTGCTTCAATATGCCCCTTATTAACACCTTCGCCGCCGACCAACGCTCTGGTTAACCCTCTGCCTGTATCAGAAGAGTCGAATTTTATATTGCCCGTGGACCTTGCGACGAAACTGCAACGGGTCGAAGGTAAGCGAGCGCCGAAATAGAACCGGCGAACACCTGAACAGTAAGTGTTTAGATCATAATGCAGAAGGAGCCGATTCGGCGTCTTCGAATTCTTCGACTTTGGCAGAACCCGCCTGCACCCAACTCCTGAGCGGGCATAAACAGTATCTGCACAAGAATGAGGAAACCGTGACTGAGGTGAGTTGGTTACTCTAAGCGTATTGGCTAACACGTGGTTGTGTCTTTTAGGAAACTGGTGGAAAAACCCAAAATTTGCAGATGACATTTCGAAACCCTCCAGAAAACTACTTCTTCATGAAATGGAACTGGCCGGTGATACGAAAAGTGTCCGCTTGGATGTTTTTAGCCGGGATTATGGCGATGATCGCTGTTGTGATTGCGATGGTTTGGAAACTTCCAAAGACGTGCAACCCTCCTACGGAGTGGTACCAAGGGAAGTTAATGTACGAGATATTCCCTGCTAGTTTTTCCGACTCGGACGATGATGGAATCGGGGATCTTAAGGGAGTAGCGCTACGTGTGGACTACTTGTCGTCGCTAGGTGTGCAAGCAGTTCGTTTGAACTCGATCTTCGCATCGCTCCAGTACCCAGAAAATTACAACAACGTCACCACGCTCACTGAAATTGCACCACAAATAGGAAAGTTGGCCGATTTGACTTTGCTTGTAAACTCGCTACACAATGAAAACATCCGCCTGGTACTCGATGTGCCGATATGGCCGCTAATTAAACGATTAAAAAGGCGAGATTTCACTAACGGCAGCAGCTTTAACGAGGAAAACTTTGAAAATGACCCCATCGAGGACGCACTCACGTTTTGGGCCAATTTAGGCGTCGACGGTTTTTACCTGAAAGGGCTCGAGCTTCTGACCAACGACGAGTCGTTCTCCGCTAATTTACGCAGCTGGAAACGCGTGTTGGGCTGGAACAAAATATTGATTGTTAACCACGCGGTCATTGACAGAACCCACCCCAAATGCATCCCTACAGTTTTAAATAACATAGATCTTGTAGACGTCCGACTGGAAATGACGGGAGGCGTCGAGAAGATCAGCGAACAATTGGAGTCAGTGCTCAACAGTACTTTGTTCGCCAAAGCGGGCAATCCCTGGGTGCACTGGTCCCTAGGTAACGACGCCACCGCCCGCCTCACCAATAAACTACCCTACACAAACGCCACATTGGGAGCAACGCTTCTGCAGCTCATGCTTCCGGGCACTCCAAGTATCTTTTACGGGGACGAAATTGGCTTACAGCAAATCTCCGACCCCCACGAAGATCGCAAGGGCCTGGAGCACTTACATCAGCTCTCCGCCATGGCGTGGGAGGCTCCAAACAGGCCGTTTACGCGCAAAGGAATCCTGCCCTGGATGCACAGCCATCCGATGCCCATTAACTTCGCCCAACTCGAAATTATATCAAAAATGGTCTCGTTACGTGTAACATCGCCCTCGATTTACGTTAATGCGATCAACAAGGACGGCCTTAACAAAGCGAACGCCGAGATTAAGTACAAGGAGAATGATCTCCTTGTAATTCAGCGATGGTTTCCCAGACGGAAGTCGTACGTTGTCGTCAGTAATCTCGGTTTCGTGCACATTTCGGCGGACCTGTCGACGCTTTTGTACGGCGGGCAGGTGGTCGTCGGGCCTACGGCGTCCTCCAAAATCGAAACGCTGTCCTTCAAGGAAATTTCCTTGTGGCCTGGGGAATCGGTCGTCGTGTTGCTGGATTAGATCATCCTATGAATTGTAACTAGGCATTTATTGTTGCACAATAAAAATTAAACGCGTAGTATTTTTAGGAAGTGTTTGTCTACGACATCGGTCAAGGTGGGTAGGTAGGTTATTTGGCAGACGTAATTTACTTAGGTACATTGTAATTATGTTTACATGGAGAGACTTTACAACATCTGCCATAAATCTGTTGTAATTTTGCGATCATACTAAAAAATGTTAGTTAAGTAGCAGCAATTATTAAATTTAAATCCGAATCTGAAGCAATGAAAAACGATTTGCGTTAACTCATTTTCATATTTCTCTAGTTTTTTTAATTTACAAAGAAGTAGTAATGGGCAGTTTAGTTCAGTCCACAAATGGCCAAAGATATATATTATATTGTAGGTACCTCGTTAGGGACCTAAGATTTCCCACGTGACGCCCCCCCCCCCAGGTAAGATCATGAAATTGATAAAAATGGCTAAAGGACGTTTTCGATACCATTATACCATAATAACAGGAAGTAGTTCTCTACATGTTTTATATAATTCATGTGTACATTAAGATGTACCTCCCCTTTCGAGTGAAGAGGCGACCGGCTGATACAGAAAAGGCGTTTGAAGTTAATTGGCGGTCGCTAACAAAGAGGCGGTCTATGGATGATGCGAAAGATGCCCCTTCCCCTTTCGACTGCTAACGTTTTTCCTTCTGCAATCAGAAAAAAATCCACTTTACGCATTTTTTACGAGAAGATTCAAAAATTACAAAATAAACGCACAATGGGTCTTTTGGAGGCTTTGAAGGCATTTAATTCGTTTGAACGTCCTTAGACCCTTTGTGAGTATTTAAAATCGTTTTGAATGAGTTCTTGTTACTTTTTAGAAGTCTTTTATGAGTGTTTAAAGCTCTTTAAGTCCCAAACAACTTCTAAGTGCTCCAAAAATTCTTCGAGAAGCTTTGAATCCTTGCGAGTTTCTCTTCACTTTGAGCGGCGGAACTTTTAGTAGCTTTTGTGGGTCTTTCAGGACCTTTATTAATAAAATCTATACCCAACAGCTTTCAAAAACCTCAAGGAACCCATTATGAATGTATTTATTCATTTTTAAGTGAAATTAAGAAGTCTTCAAACAGTTTTTTGCGATATTTAATGGACGTCTTTAGCAGTGTCTAAAATTATTTGGAAATTTGGGAACCCGAGCCGCATTTTCTGAATTATTCTGTGTGAAGTAATACCAGTTTACATTCTATACGTGCTACATCGTTTGCGGGTAAGACGTTGGGGTAAATTATAGATTTATCATTGGAAATTTTCATTCAAGGATATTAATTTTAAGATAGATTTTTCAATTACGAAAATTGCATGAAATTATTCATTTTGTTAAATTGTAACCTATAACGTTTGCATCATAAATAAAGCAGGCCATGTATTACTTGCATTTGACAGTAACGTAAGTATCTAATGTGATCTTGCTAGGATATTCAAATGTGGCGCTTTATCTGAGTACAGCGTTCCCCAGTTTTCTGATCATACATCTACCCAAATTAAGTTTTGAATATACCAATACCACATTATTTTATTTACCACATAATATAATAGGTAATTATAGACAAAGTAAAAAAGGTTTATGCGAGTTAATAAGTTAAGGAGCAACTACAAGTAAAACACCATTGGCGTAGCAACGTGGAGGAAAACATTTTCTACCGTGAAACTTCACGCCCCAAAGAAAATGCCGTTAGTTCCATAAAAAATAGTGACTTTTGGGAATGTAGCTCCCAAACAAATTATTTGGAACCCTTATTTATTTGGACAAATTTATTTCAATATCTTATACATTCATATATGTTACACCCTGTATAAACCTTTCAACGGCTAAATATCAGCAAACTTTAATTCTGAAAATAAATTATTCTTGTCGAAATCTACTTAACCTTCAATATACAGGGTGAATTGCTTATGAGTGGAAAGGTAGTCTTGGGAAGTAACAGAGACAGGGAGTGTAAATTTGTATTGTTTTAATTGTTTTTGCTTTGATTTTGCAAAAAAAAGTAGTGTAGCATATTTTATAAAAACTGCCTCGTATGTTAATTGTCTATTTAGTACATATATATTTTTCTGTTATGTTTATGTGTTATGTTGACTTTTTGTATCATTCGGTTGAATGTGACGTATATCATATTATTTTAATTGTAACTGGTGGGCGCTGTAGAATTCAAAAACGATTTTTTTCGGATTTGTATTTTGGTCAGCATAGAGTAATTTACGCATATGCCGCTTCATAGGGAACTTGATCAATCCAAAGAATCAAAATTGTATTCTTTCTTGATCTATTGTCACGGGCGTTATTGGAGCTTAAGTCCATTGTGGTATATACAAAAGTTCATATTGTGAGTTACGTTTATCATGAGATTGAGTAAGGAGTGTGATACGTGAGATGGTCGTTGTAACAGGTGACCGCTTAACCATGTTAAAAATTGGGTGTTCAACATCCGAAAATTTACATATGCACCGCTTTATAGCGAACGTGAACGAAAAGTATGTCTGCAAATAAAAGTCGATAACAACGTGTACGTTTTTAATGAAAGTGTGCGTTTCGCAATAAGGGAAGAAAGGTCGCGCGTTGTAAGGGGGTTTTCGGCAGTCGCGGTTAGACTTTCTAAGCGTTAGCACGTATTATTTGTGTGTGAGAATTTTACCCCCAAACAAAATCTAACTCATAAAATGGACGAAATTAATATCAACCCAGTTATTTTTAAGTTATTTTAAGTTATTTTAAATTTTGTGATTTGTATAAAGTAGTGGTCGATTATTTTTAGGAAGTTGCATATTAAATTTGTTTGAAGTAATTTTAATATTCCTAAAGAAATCGACTCGTGAGAATTTGTTGCAAGAATGGAATGGATGATAAAAATTGAATCCAAACAAAGGATTTTGGTTATTTGTTTGTTTGTTTCATTGATTAAAAATTGTGTGTTTAATTTCTGTAACACTAGTCCAATGGATCGCTTTTGTTTTGATGAACATATTCAATCAGCTGAGTTCATAGGCGTATTTACTATAGTCAATCAATGCAGAGTATTAGATTTTGAATGTTAGATTTTTAGAAGAGATAAGGGACTTCCGCCAGGTAAGGAGTATTAAAAACAGTTTAATTACTGAGGTAGCCGTGGATCAAATAAAATTGATTTTAATATTAGAATTTGTGCCAGTGCCGTAGAAGTTCAATTTTATTTTATGCGAGTGTAGTTTTCGTTCCTTGTAAATGTAACTAAGTCGTTACATCATTCGATCGGAGTAAGTAAAGTACGACTCTAGGAGAAGATTGTTGAGAATATTACAAGGTGAAGGAACATTCGCTCGTAGCCGTTTAGAATGTTTTAAGCTGCGGTCCATTTTTTTGTTCAGGGCCAATTGATAAAGTGAAGAATTATTATACCACTCACATTCTTCTAGAGTCAGACCTCCTAGCTGATAGTGTGAGGGCGCTAGATTTTACGTTGTGTTTTGTGGTATTTTGAGTTACCATTTTAGAGGTCGTCGTCTGCCAGTTCGTTTATCTGAAGTCGCACAAGGTAAATTAAAGACATAGTAAGAGTTAATTAGCTTTATTCCTTAAATAACATTTTGAAATGAATTCTTGTTCATTTGCAATCCACCTTTTATAATGAATGCGCCGTCAATCGGCAATTAGAAAGCCCACATGGGTTCCAGAATAGTCAAATGGCATTTTATATCAACACAATGAATTAAAGAATCGAGGTTCATGTGTTCTTGAATAAATACTAAACCAGTCCTTTGTACTCGTATTGCTACAAAGTACCTTAAACAATCGTTCCGAGTTTTCTTCCACTTATTTAGGAAATTTTTCGTTGACTGTGACCCTTTTAATTTCGAGCGTGCATAAATGACAGTACTCAGGACCTATTAACTATGAGAACGCTTACTGGTAATATGGGTTGAAATCGCCTGCGGTTTGCAGAACCAACGTTGGAGGCTCAGTGTCCCATTGACAGAATAATAATAATGTTTTTATTCTAATAGACGTAGTTCTTCCTAGGTCTGCTTCCTGCAAAACCCAAAATTTAAGGCACTATTTGACTCTCCTGTCAACCGCCGTTAAAGCTACCTAAACCAGTGTGACTTTCTTTGAAACACACTTTAATGCTTAGTTTTCATTAATAATAAAGCGCATACATAAATCTGCAACTCCTAACTTTAATTTATTAAGTTCGTGAACACTGATACATTTAAAAGCGAAAGGGACGGGTATGCATATTACCAATCCAATAAATTTGGACAACGCATGTTGACGTTTCGATTTTTAAATCTAAAGTTATGCTTATTTATTAATCCTACATCAATTCAATACCTATAAATAAACTCATAAAAAAAAGTACGACAGAATTAAACAGGACAGCGCTTCGCAAATAAATAAATTGCTAAACTAGGTGCACTAATACTAAAAGCTGAATGTTACCATAAATCGGAAAGTTTCCATTTATTAATGGTCGCCCAAAATTGTAGCGTATTGTTTTAAAATTGTGGGGCATTGTTTCCTTTTATTTTAAACGCTAGCGTTTGTTTAAGGCCTTGCATTATTTGGGCGAAAATCGGGAGTATTCAGAGTCATATTCCCCCACATATGTTTTACCCAAAATCGTCCTGAAACCAAAGAATACTGAAACCTTCATTTTCATGCCTACTTTCTGTCAGGAAATTTGAGTTTACATGACAGAGCCAGAGCAGACTACGTTTCCTGCCGCTTATCACTTTACTGGCCACACCTGTCACTTTACCGGCCGCGTTTGTGACTCCTGTCATCACCGACAGATTGACATTAATCAAAAGTTGTATAAACAAATTGAAATGTTATATTAAAATACGATTTCGGGTAAAATTTAATACAAACTCGTCAGTAAAATGACATTACTTAACTCGGAAATTAAAGTACTCGGCCCCAAAGGGCCTCGCCCTTCAATATTTCCTCACCAGTAATGTGTCATTTTCCTCACTTTTATGTAAATAACTATTAACAGGTACCGCCAACCTTGTAGACTACATATGTAGGTATATTTTGATATATTTATTATTTAAATGTTTTTTTTTATTTAACATTAAGTTTCGACGGATCAAGTGGGGCAGGTTGTCACAAATCAAACGCCTGTCACCAGTCAAATATTTTAAAAGCGCTAAAAAATCTTCTATCCAAAGGGTAAGAAAAAAAAAATTTCATCGGACGAGGAAGCCGAAGACTGTATGTGTCTTATGTGCGGAAAACTCGGAAATGAAGTTTCAGTTGAAAGCTGTATTAGATGTACAACTTGCAAACAATGGGCACATAAAATCTGTACTGATAGAAATCCGTTTTATGTGTCATAACTGTGACTCGAAGACAATATGTAGTACTTCTTTTTCTGAAAACAACCCTTTGATTTCTTATTTTCTTTATTTTTGTGGTACTGTGACAATTTGCCCCAGGTAGGGGCATGTTGTCACAAAAATTTTACAAATGTTAATGGGCAGTCTACATACCAACTGAGTATTTAGAGTAATTTTGGTTTAAAAATATTAAAAGGCGTCTAAGTTATAACGACTGAATCCAAAATTGTGACAACTAGCCCCGGTCTTCCCTAAATGAGCACAGTTCGGAAGATTAATGCTTAGAAATATGTATTGGAGACCAAAATATGCAAAGAAGCTCAAATAAGTTTACACAATTGCCATCGGTGCAAAGAACCAATTTTTAAAAATTGCGTTTTACCATTTACCTACGCAGGTAGATACCAGAAATCTTTACCTACCTATAAATAGCATAATTTCAAATTGATACTATAGTCCCTATTCAGATTGTATTATATCTAAAAAGGAAAAATCACACTGTATAAAATAGCAAATCAGAAAACTTAATTCCGGTGAATTGTTTCAATATGATAAACATGAATTTGCTTCATATGTTTACCGCGTCTTAAATGTTTTCCATCTCTCCGATCGCAGAGTTCAAATTGCCGGGACGACCGAAGCCGGAATTGCCATCGCCGGGTTTAGAGCGCCGGGACAACCGAAGGCGGGAAGTAAATGGTCGCCTGGAAATCGGTGCCGGGATGGTCATCGCCTGGATGACCGTGGTCGCCCAAAATTTGTAACAATCTCGGACAAAATGAGGATTTGGCGGTCAAACCAACACAAAACTGCCACAATTGAGATACGAATTTTGGTCACGATCTGAAACCTTCATTAAGTTGCTACCCCCGTCGTCAAAATTCTACATCTCAGTTAAAAAACGTGGAAGTTGCACAAAGCTACCAGCAATGTTTCGGTTCTTGGGTTTGGAGGAACAATTTAATGCAGGTCGACATTTTTACTATACACAAACGTGGTGGGGGGTGCATTTTGGGAGGTAAAACTTCAAATTCGTGCTTTATTTGTGATGTTTCAATCTTGTTCCCACAATTTACATTAATAGTATAAATTACATTCAGTACTGAAACAATAGAATAGTTTACGACCCCTAATTACAGATAATTTATGCTAATTTTAAGCTTTATTGATCATTTGTTATTCTGTATGGTTTTATGACACATAATAGCTATAGGTCTATTATGGAAGTACAATTAAGACATTTTTAATAAAATTGTATAGACCGATCTCGCCTTGGTCGTTGAAAAATGGGAAAACGGGGTATCCTTGCTGTCAACAAGGGCGTATGATAATCAGAAACACATTCAAGATCAAACTTGCTCCATCGAGCTATAACTCTTTTCTTCCACCGATTAGGTACTAACAGTTAAATGGGAATACTTACTGAATAATTACGCGGTAATTAATGCTCATCCTTCTATCGAAAAAACACGTTTCTATCATTAGCTCTTCTTGTACTATTATCGTGTTTGTCATTAATAAGAAATGCGTAAGTGAAATAATTCGAATAGGGGAAACTATATTTGATTGCGCTACCGCCGCTCGAAGGTGCGCTACTTGTTTCTAACCCCCCCACCTACCGCAAACGCACTTGTCGCAAAATAATGTAAAATACATTTTATTATTATTATTCAATCGAAGGTTGGTGTTTGTGGCTAGTGTCGATCGCTTGAAGTGTGCCTTGATTAATAATATTACTTAATTGCATAAGGAAGCAGGTGAAACAGGTACGTAATCGCCTTTGTTTTTTTTATATTGTTGTTATCATTAATAATTATTGTGCGGCTGCATTACATAATTACACGCAGTTTCACAATAATTCACTTTTTGTTATAAATAAATTCTGCGCGTAACACTAAGTGCGTCCCTCGAAGACTACATTGAATAATTGATCACGCATTGTACTTTTTTAAACAAAATGATGCTGGTATCAATCGGGCGTCCAGCCCTTCCGTTTTTTTCGGTTATTACTCTACATAGAATTCTCACTTTCTACTTGTAATGCAATGCGCTTATGTAATTGCAGATATTTTGTACCTAATACGTTAGAAGTTTTGCACTTTTAGCGAATATTAGTTTGCAGCTTCTTAAACCTAATTACGATTGACACAATTAAGTACGAGTTTCTTTTGCTTATTGTTTTATATTCGCATTCTTGCATTCAAGAAAACACCTTGAGGTTGATCGCAAATTGATGATTTGTGCGAAAGTGAACACTAATCGGAATTTTTTCTCTAATTGTTTCAAATTCCTTAAAATTTCCACGATTATCAATGAAGTTCTTCTAATTAGATATTAATATCGGTACAGAAATGCAGGTAATTATTGTGTGTCATACAAGTCTGGACGTCGTTTACATAAATTGCATGATCATCAGCCTCTAAGTCATGTCAAATAAATTAATTGGGAAATCAGTAAGTTAGCTCTATGATTGGTAGAATCAAAACTGGTGAAATGGTTCAATTTCCCATTGATTCATTGAAAAATACGGAGCAGGCACGCAAAGTACAAAGAAATTGATGTGGGACTGTCATCTGTCGAAGATTAGGATCTTCAAAACCTGCAGGATCTTTAGTTACCCTCGTAATCTTCAGAACTTTCAGCATCCTCTGGAAACTTACATTCTTCCAGAACCTTTGTAATCCTGTCAGTGTTCCATAATTACGGGAATTAAATTATCTAATCAGTTTTTTGTTCGAAACTTGAAACAGATGAACGTGATGGAAAAAACGAAATAAAAAGAGAAATTTATTACTCTTGAGGGTAGGGGACTTGCTCTAGCCCCTAGTGGAAAGTGACCCGAATTTCAGAACATATTATACGTATGTTCTTTGGGTATTTAAAATCTAAATTGTTGAGTACTTCTAATACGACCGTTCAAAACTTTGCTACTTCGAATAAGGTAGGAAACTCGCCACTCGCCAGTGCCAGTGAAAAGCTAAAAATTGGTAAAAAAATCAGGCTACCGCAATTTTTTTTTAAATGTGACCCTCCTTATCGTTTATTTTTAAGAAAGGTTTAGTGGTTCTGAAATGAAGCAATTTTTTTGCAAGGATTTCGGTTGATCTGCTTTGACGATGGGGTAAAGGAAAATTCATCAAAATTTTAATTTGTGCAAATTGATTGAAATTTTTGAAATACCTCCATCTGCCTGCATTGCTTTTTGGAATTGAAGCTATTGCGGTTGAAATTATTTTAAAGTTAACTTGAATTTCTTTAGAAACGGCAGCCGCGTCTACCCTACGGTCCCAGAAAATCTGTGGCTTGTAGGAAATCGCTCGATCCATGGGTTTTTTGTGTTAAAATAACCATCGCGGTAAGTTAACATCGGTGAATTTGAATGGGAATTTGGGTGTTGCCGATGACGTTTTCGAATAAAAATGAAATCCTTCAATAGGTATATCTGCACCTTTTGCAAGTGATACCTGATACAATGGCTTCTCTTTAATAAAAGCCGTAATTCTCCTTTGGGGAAATCTCCCCCCTAAACCCTGTCTTATGATTCTCGTGTATTTTTTAAACCCGATATCACTTTTGGGATAAAGCGCAGAAGTAGATTGCGTATTTTGTAAGATTCCGAAAGTTTTTGAGATTTATGAGGAAGTATTGTAACTCAAAATTTGGATTTATTTTTTCGAAACTTATAGAGATAGGTAAAGTTGAAATGGGGGGTTAGAGAAGTTTAGGCATTACATATCATAGAACATTGGAATTGTAAAGAAAGATTGGCAAGCCGCAGTGCATTTAAACTCGTTTTTTCTGCGTCACTTGATTTCTATAGAACATTGTTTTTTAATAACTTTCGGAAACGAAATTTTCTCCTGTTATTTGGTAAAAAGGAAAGTCTTAAAAAAACCAGTTAGAAAACCCGTTGATTTTCGCGATATAAAATTTTTGCTTGCTTGCAATGTAAAAAAACAGTTGACGTTAAAAGAATCCTAGAAGAAAGAAAGCAACAGTTCGCGGAGAGTTTAAAAAAGTCAAGGTCAAGCTATATTGGCATAGAGATTTTTTAAATTTTTAGTGAATTGAAATTTAAAAAACCATGGGAAAAATTGTAAATAGAAAAGCTTATAAAAAATATTGTAAGTTAATGGATCTTATTCAATATTATTTTAGAGTAGAGGGAGAAATTTTTCAGTAAACACGACATCGTAAAATTTATGTTTCAAAGCTAGTCAGGAATCAGTTAATTATTTTATTGGAAAGAAATTCAATCCCGCAGTAGGTGCAAATCGCTTAAATCGCCTCTTTTATATTCAAAAGCCTATTGTAGTATGCAAAAGTTTCTAATAAATGGAAACTTTCTAAGGATCCTATTTCGAGAAATGGACGGTTTCCAGAAACATCTCCTGAGTTTTACAGTTTGTAAAATTTCCTATTTCCTATGTAGATTTCAAGATGATATTTATGAAAGTTGCAAAGGAAATATAATAATAATATGGTGACGGTTTCTAAGATACTTTTAATTAAATAGGGTTCCTAAGTTTGTCAAAGAGACTTTTTCCAGGAAAATATTAAAATTTTCGGGTCTGTTAACTTGGCCCCCCCACTGAGAGATTTGATAGTCGTATTATTTTAAAATGAATGCGCTCGTTGTGCGCTCATATGCGCCACCGATAATAACTCTTGCGCCAGAAATCCGAAAAAACATGGGGGGGGGGGGCAAATGAAGGTAGCCCCCCTAGTACGTATTTTGTCGCTTGTAACTAGGTCACCTGATACATTTGGTTATGCGCTCAATTGCGCCACTTGAATTAAAGCTAGCGCCATTACGGTTAAGCCGTGACCAATTTTCAAAAAGCTCCCAAAAAACACCCTGTATAGTGTTTCTGAAAAGATTTTGGTTTACGGCGCATGATGAAAGGTACGATGTAGTAGAAAAACACGTTAAAAAACTTAACTTTTGAAAACCTTAAGTTAGCCCCCCCCCTCCACTTTTTACAAAATTTTTATGGCTTAACCATAATGGCGCTAGCTTTAATTCAAGTGGCGCAATTGAGCGCATAACCAGATGTATCGAGTGGCACAAATGCCGGTAGCAAAATGCGTTATGGGGGGGTTCGTTCACTTGGCCCCTCCCACATATATTTAAGGATAGGAAGGATTTATGGTTCAGTGGTAGAGCATTGGGTTATAAATCCGGAGGTCAGGTGTTCGAATCTGGGTTGAGGTGAATTTTTCATCTGTGGCGGAGATGGAAATTACCTTAGACCAGTTCCGAGCATTCTACCGGCTACTCCGAATTAGGTTTTCCTGCAGTTTTCCTAATTCGTAAGGTAAATACCGGAGTAGTATAGACCAACTTAAGACCTTCTGCAGAGGCACCTCTAAATAGCATTATGCGGGTCACTCTGTAATTGGGCGCATGCCTGTTGAGGGCCCAAAACAAGAGAGGGATAATAATAATAATAATAATAATAAACCTTAAAAGCACTACAGGCTCACAAAATACTGTAATGCCTCCACCAATAACCCAAGCAACCTCACAAATACAACCTCAAGAACAAAGAAACACCATAAATATAAGTAACGCAACATGCACTACAAAGACAGGTCCACCCAATAAAGTTACACGCCCTAGCACAGTTAAAAAACACATAACTCATTCTTCACAGAAACACACCACGTTATCACAACCCACTCGTACTCAACCCAAACGCAAAAACCTAAACAGCACTACTAGCTCACAAAATACAGTAATACCTCCACCAATAACCCAAGCAATAACACAAATACAACCTCAAGAACACCATAAATACAAGTAAGGCAACATGTACCACAAAGACAGGTCCACCCAATAAAGTTACACGTCCTAGCACAGTTAAAAAACACAAAACTCCATCCTCACCGAAGAACACCACGTTATCACAACCCACTCGTATTCAACCCAAACGCAAAGCCAAAGAAACACTTACACAATAAACTCCATTTAATAAAATTACAGGAATGTGTGATTTTTTTTTTTTTTTTTTTTTTTTTTTTTTTTTTTTTTTTTAGGACCCTACATAACTTCACCAGACACAGACACAGACACTGATCGTTACTTGATTTTAATCCGTGCGATTAGTTAACCAGGCTAGATCTGAGTTCTCACAAGAAACACCGACCATAATAATAAACACAGACACAGACACTAATCGTTACTTGATTTTAATCCGTGCGATTAGTTAACCAGGCTAGACCTGAGTTCTCACAAGAAACACCGACCATAATAATAATAATAATAACCAAAAAAAAGAATGGCACAAAGATATCTTTTTACGGCGCATTTCAGCGCATACCTGCGAGTACAGTTTCGTATGAAAAGATGTTAAAAAAAAGTTGGCCCCCCGCTTTTTGAAAATTTGTCACGGCTTAACCGTAATGGCGCTAGCTTTAATTCAAGCGGCGCAATTGAGCGCATAACCAAATGTATCAGGTGACATAGTTACAAGGGACAAAATACGTACTGGGGGGGCTACGTTCCCTTGGCCCCCCCCCCCAAATGTTTTTTCGGATTTCTAAAAAACGATAATGGCGCAAGAGTTATCGGTGGCGCAGATGAGCGCATAACGAGCGCATTCATTTTAAAATAATACGACGATCAAATCTCTCAGTGGGGGGCCAGTTAACGGACCCAAAATTTTCAGAACCCAAACAGTATTTTTAAGGAGATTTCTAACATGTCTTTGAGGGGATTTTCTGAGGATTCTGAAAAAATGTACGGTTGAAGGTTCTATAAATGTTTAAACCAAAATTCCGAATATTTTTTTAAGTTTTCTAGAATGAGAGAGCGTCTAGAAATATCCGAAAAAAGGTTTCTAGGGTCACTACGCATACAAAATGCGCAAACGGTAGACCAAAAGTTGAAGGTATAAAGAACTCCCCATTGAAATTTGCAACAGTAACGTAAGTTTTTCTTAAGTGAGTCTTCAACTTGACTGAGGCCCAAATGTTTACACCTCTATGTTAGTTTTTTTTACAAAAGGATCTTTGTACGTAAATCCCCTACTGGGAGCTGGAGGAGTTGCACAAGCGTATCCCACCAATCTGTCTTCATTTGGGGTGACATAACCAAAACTTAGAGAGATATAAAACCTAGAAAGGGTTAGGTATATTAACAAAATATTGGTTCCATTGGTAAGAAGAGTATAGGCCACTAATAACCTTAGATGGAATTAGTGAACTTATCATGAAATAAAGTCAACGTGGAATTTGCTGAATGTGCAGGGTTGGAAATAGATGGGATTGATTGACAGACGTTCGGGATTGGTGGCACCAGGGATACTAACCAATAGAAAATTTAGACGTCGCAATTTTTAAGTTAATTCGCCATTGTGGGTGTGAAAAATTTACCTAAGCAGTAATTAAAAGAGGGAATCATTGGTGTGAAAAAAGTAACAGATGGAATCTCTCAGCCATCAAGGAGAGATCGTAAGTAAAATGGAATTTAGATTTGTTTGTATGAAACATTTTGAATTCGCCTTTTGAACCCTGTCTCCCTGCACACTTCTCATATCAGTCCATTCACTCACTTGTTGCCTTTGAGTGCCTTTCACGGACTCGTCTCCCTCTGTCCCTAAGATCTTCCCTTCATCTCCTTTTCAGACCTTCACATTTTTTTCGAACTTTTTTAATTCACGCCTGCTTCATACATTGTTTCCCTTTTTTGAGAATTTGCGGATGGCTTTGCCCGTCCGTCCTTCTGTTCCTCGTCTAATTCGAGAACGAAAAGAGACGGCGATGTCAAGCAATGGAGCGAATTTGTGAAGGCAGAATCGCCATTTAAAAAAAATCGAAACAATTTCCACCCTTTGCGCGCTATAGTGTAAACCGTCATTGTTTCTTAATTAACCACAAAATTAAACAAGTTAATTGAACACTCACAATTCGCTTCATGTGCACTCATGTCGTCCTTTTCTAACACAAGCTCTCAATTATTTCAAATTCAACGCCTACTTAATAAACATTTAAAACGGCTCTGCAAATCCATTTAAATCGAGTTTTCTCTGGAACTACTGGTCGGATTTGAAAAATAAAAACAGTTCTGAAAACATAATGAACATTCCTTTCGACCTATCTAACATTTACTACCCCTTCCCATTTAAAATTTTTGGGGTGAAATTCACCCCCTTCTCAGGACTAAAGTTATGTAAGTAGTATTACTTAATTTAGGTATCCCCCTCAAAACTAAAATTGACGTGTTCGAGCGTTTCTGGTAAAACTGTCGTTAAATTGGCAAAATTGGCATTGACTGTTTTCAGTGGGCCACCCTGTATCTTGTTTAGAGCTTCGTTAACACCTCCTCCAAGTCCAGAATGTAGGTCTCCTCTCTCCGTTACTATTCTACACGCCTTCTTGCACGAATCTTTTACGTCTCTTCTTCCTTTACCTATATCTTCTTTTTCAGAGCGTCTTTCGTTAACTGTTTGCATCTCCTTACTTTCCTTTCGGGAAGTCCTTAGGACTAAAAATTTAAAGTAACTGGCAGCTCTGGGGATCGGGGAGGGGGGGGGGGGCTGAAATAATGAGATTTCAGATGAAACAAGAGAAAGAACTTTATCATGACTTTATAAGTTAAACAACAAAAAGAAAAGTGTATTTTGGGTTAAGCTACAACTTCGTTCCACATTGATAATAATAATGTTTGTCACACTAAACAGTGCCATAGACAGGTAGAGGTAAACCGGGCAGTGGTTGTCATCCCAACATCCCTACCCAACCACAGTAAGGTCAGATCCCTAGCGCCGATAGCAAATTCTTCAAAGAGGACGTCACAGCTCCCTCAAAAAGCGTCGATAATCTTTCGCATCCTCAGCAATTCTGATAGTGGATTGGTTATGTTTCAAAATCATTATGGAACTTCTAGACTCCTGTCCCAGATCCAAAAGAACTCGATTCATCCACAGCGTATGGCATGCAGCTGTTACCAATGCTGGACACCGTATGCTGTTTTCTTGTCGTCCATCTAATTGTGCATCCAGAAACCTTGAAAACGTAGCCTGTGACAGATCTCCGATCGATCAAGTCGTTTGCCCAGTCTGCATCCGAGGAGACCTGCAGCAACCCATTTTCCGGTTCCGCCTTGTGTACCAATCCGAAGTCTAGTGTCCTCTTGACATACCGGAGAACCCGTTTAAGGTGCTTTGGAAATTCTTACAGTCCACCAACTTATGTCCTTCCCTCTTGCATCGGAAACGCCGGATTTTCTTCGGTTGCGTCACCCCGGAAAATGGACGCCGGATGCCAGACGATTATCGTAAAGTATCAAACTTTTAAAAACCAAAAAGGTAGTTCTCTAAATTTACTAAAAAAAATGATTCCGAAAGTTAGAAGGTTCTGGATATTTTGACAAATGTGAAAATGTTGAGTTTTTTGACAGCTGTGAAGATTCATAACACTCTTTAAATCCTGAAGGTCTTGAAGTCTTTGAAAGGTTTTTAGTTTCTGTATGTTTTGAAAAGAATGTGCCTGATTAAAGATATTGACTCTATCAACTAGGGATCCGGGATCAATCATATGATATTGCTGAACATTTTTTTCATGTTTAGGAACTGCAATGGAGGGCGACTCTTCCGAGTTGGAGCTGCGTCGTCGGGAATTACAGAGTCAACTTTCGAACGTTAACATCAGGAAACAAAATGCGATCTGCGTCAGAAGGGCGTACAAGCGTTACGGCACTAAGAAGAATCCATTTGTGATACTCGACGGTCTCAATATGACCGTGCCCAAGGGAACGATGTAAGTTTTTCCCTCGGCCCTTTGTTTCGATGCTCAATTTCGTTTCAGATACGGTTTATTGGGCGCAAGCGGATGCGGAAAAACCACGTTGCTCAGCTGCATTGTCGGTCGCAAGCGTTTAAATGCCGGCGAAATATGGGTCTTGGGCGGGACGCCCGGTTCGCGAGGTAGCGGCGTCCCAGGACCACGAATAGGATACATGCCTCAGGTAAACGCCGTAGCGTTAAAATCATAACGTTGCTAATCTTCAAACTTAAAGGAAATCGCCCTGTACGGCGGGTTTTCCATTAAAGAAACGCTGACGTACTTCGGTTGGATCGCCGGTATGACCGACGCGCAAATCCAGAACCGTCTCGAGTTCCTCGTGAAATTCCTAATGCTGCCCGACGCCGAGTGCATGGTAAAAAACTTAAGCGGCGGTCAGCAAAGAAGGGTATCATTAGCATCGGCGCTCTTACACGAACCGGAATTATTAATTTTAGACGAACCGACCGTCGGTGTCGATCCGCTCTTGAGACAAAGCATTTGGGATCATCTCGTCGAAATTACGAGAACCGGACACACGACCGTAATCATCACCACGCATTACATCGACGAAACGCGACAGGCGCATCTTGTAAGTAGATCTTTGTTGTTGTATTTCCGGTCAACCTTAACCTTGATGCAATTGATCGTGATACTTTACTATGGTTGGTCATTGAAGTGGGACGTGGTCATTGTTGCAACTCTTCCGTTAGCAATCAAAGGTTACGAATTCGTCTTCCGAAAACCTTGACCGGAAAGCGACCAGGGTTTATTGGTGAGCTCATGAGGAAAGCAATTGCAATTTCAATTTGTGCTTCTTCCTCGCCTTTTTCATCTTCTTCTGCTTGAGCATCAATTTCTGCTGTTCTTGAGTCCATAATTTATTGGCCTTGATACATTTCTTCAATAACGATAATTTTCTGTTGTTCCTCAGTCCATAATTTATCGGCCTTGCAGGCAATGGGCTTGTGCCCCTTCCCCGTTCTTCACGGACTGGTACGCTTATCGACGCTTCCAGTATGGAACCTCACTAATTTGACATCATAAACAATAAGTGCCATTTACATTTTTACAGTACCCAAATCATTGCCCAAAAAATTGTTATAATCGCACAAGTTTTTGTTAAACCATAAAAACACGTGTTCATTGCTAATTGTTACCTTGTGATTGACATTTTTATAATATAAAATTATCTGCTTAGGTACTTGGCATTTGCAATTAAGGTTATCTAGTTAATGCTAAGTGCAGTTTAGTCAATTGCATGTTGTGTCTTTACTACCTACTGTTATTAGCATTCCCATGATGTGACTGGATTATTTAAAAAAAAACGTAAAATTTATTCCAAGGTACGCATGCAGATTGCATAGGTATAATAGAATACCAAGAAGTATTACTAAGCTGTTTTTGTTTACCTAAACGTAAATACGAAGTATTCCTGTGGAAAAACAAAACTATCCACTAAATGCTAGTTAAGCTAGTTGCGAATATAACGTTCAATCATGTACCTACTGAGATCTCAACCCGCGCATACACGAACGGGTGCGTGTCTGGAATTCGGGGACCGAAAATTTTCTTCTTGGTTTAAATTTTAGCATAATTAAAAATCTTTCTTGCATGAAACGAAATTCATGTCCCAAAAGTAGTTTTCAACAATGGGGCATGGGGATTTTGGAAATTAGTAAGAAAACCTTTGAAAATAATCTAGGACACTGGAAAAACCAGAAATCTGTGAAAGGGGACAAACAGTTTTGGAAAAAAAACACTAGAAAGTACCCAAGGCTTTGTCCGCTTCTTAAGATATCTTAGACTTTACATATAATGTTTTCTGAGAGCTTTTATAGATCATTCAGGCGCTACAATGCGCTGTAAAGGCTCTAGGACACCCAAACAAAGTCTAAAATGCCTTTTTTATTATTTGGGAAAGCCTTAACATGATCTGAAAGACTTTGATAAAAACAATTGTTTGGAGGAGGAGCGAAGCGACGACTCCAATTATTGTCTGAGAACGGTAACCCTTAACGTTCGACGTGCTTATAACATTTTTTTGCGCGATCGAAATTAAAATTATGCAACCAATATAAATATGCACTAAGAAATTAACGAGCAGAATGAATCGAAATGATCGAAGTGGTATGGTGTACATCACTAGGTAACCAGTTTACTTGTCAAAATTGAAATGAATAATTTCATAAAAATGTGCATGTGTCTGATGTAGTTTACTAGCTTTGCACTTCCTTTATGACTTTATGAGTGTCTTGCTATAGGAAACAACAGCACAAATTGTACGTTTAATGTACCTAACAATAATTAAAGATTAAATGTAATGTAAGACTGTTGATTTTTAAAAAGGCGTCGGTAAGTATTTTTGCTGTTCTGTTTTTAGATCGGTAAGTAATTTTGGCGTCGTCGTAATCATAGCAACTGGTAAATTCTACGTACTGTCATGGAAACACCCATGGTAAATAGTCAGAAATGACCGATCGCACAAAAAATATATTACATTTTCAATTTTGAACAATTTTTAGAGTTGATGCACTAAAATATGTAAGAAACGTGACTGTGTCTAGTGTTAGTTTATAACTTGTGGTAAAACAGAAGCAGTATTTGTAGATTATAAATAAGAAAACGATTTACTGAAAGCATGATGATACACCACTGCAATTAAATAAATGATCATCAGTTAGTACCAACTTCATAATGTTTTTGATTTGCGGGAAATTCAAATTGTCCTCACTTCTAGTGAATCACCCGGTATAAAAAGTAATGTAAGAAACGGGTATTGTTAAGCACATTTACGTACGCGTTCAGGTTTAGAAAACCTGAATTACCGTATACGTGTTTTTTAATAAATATAATCTATGACAGTGGCATTATGACATATTTAGCATAGCCAATTGTATGTGATTACGGCTAGGTACCATAATAGTGTTATTCCGAACTATACAAATTTTAAATTGTAGACAAACATACGTCGATTTTTCGCCAGAAAGAGTATCGGTAACATTTTGAGCAATCCGAAGGAACCTTAGAATCGCACATATTGATAATGAATAGATACTATTTTTCACCGCGAACGTTAAAATTGAAACAAACGCGATTACCATAACTAGTACGGGCACGCGATAATTATGAATTTTAATTTAAGAAATCGTCTAGATAAATCAAAATGGCCTGTTTCATTATGATGTTCATAATAACTAACTTCTCAAGGAACTTACGCTCTTGAAAACGTATAGAAGAGCCTTAACTTATTTGGAAAAGCCTTTGTAGCGTAGGTACAAAGCTTCGATATGTACGTATAATGGACTGTATATGCTACTATGTATGAGAGATATGAAAGAATATCGACACGAATGTTTAACGTGTTTATTATTAAAAAATACAAATAAATAAATCGATTCTAAATCTTGATCTGGTAATCTGTACGACGAGACAATATTGTTGTTTCGAAGTAGGCCAATACAAACGAAGGCGATCGGCGAAGATAAGAAAGCAATGGCGGTTGGTGTTACTTTTGTGGAAGTGACAGCGTAGATTCTTGGCTGGTTAAACGACAGCTTCGATGAAGACGACTATAACGACGAAATTCATGGTGTTCGACGAAAATGGCGTGCTGCTTCTTAACAAAACACGTTCATTATTATTGATGGTTGCACGACGATTTTTCATTTTTAAAGACCCTAAGTACTTCCAAAAATCTTGTAAGTGCCTTCCAGCGTTTTCTTCTAGAGTATTTTAAGCCCGTCTTCTAGATTTCAAGGTGCTTACCAATGGCGGGCGAGCAAAGAAAGCGTTAAAAAACTGGAAATGACCTAAACACATTGCGAGGGCCATAGAATGCTCTGGAAAAACCAGGGGAAAAACTATTTAAAGCACTTGAGACGTTCCGAAGAGCTTTCATGAAAACGTTTAAATGCCATTAAACCTGCTTTGTAAATCGTATAGACAAGTTTCCGAACTCCTAAGAGGGTTCTCTAGGTGCTCCAGTACGCGGTTATGAAAGTCCTTTAACATGCTTTACAGCAACTCCTCGAGCACCCTATTTGCCTTTTTCAAAGCAATAGGACGAAAGTCCTTAGAAGTTCTGATATGGCAACTAGAAGAGCCTCGAACGCTTTGGAAAGAGCTTGATTCTAAAAATCCTAGTTTTTTCGACGCTTTCCAACTCTGTAAATCGCTTCAGAAAGCTTGAGATTGCTCAAGGCTGCCATCTAAATGCATGCCTTCGCCTATTCCAAAGAGCATTTAGAGCTCACCCAAAATTGATTTCGCAGTTTTCTATGAGAGATTTTAAGTCCTTAAGATCGTCATTGAATTGTTCGACAAATCTTTAAGATTCTCTTGAAGGCATTTATAAAATTCTAGAAAGTGTTTCATAGGCTTTCCAGAGCTTTTCATACTATTTCCGAGCATAAGTGGTTTTTTTTAGAGTTTTAACGCTTTTCTAGAGTACGCTTGAACACTAGAGCGCTCTTTACAAGCGCTAGGACATTGAAAAAGGTTATATCGCAATTCAATTGTTTGATGACTTTATAGTCGAAACATGTCGCAGACCATCATTTACTTTATTAAATATATGGGGATCTTTTGAAAGAGGGAAATAATTGGTGCAACGCCTTGTGCAATACAATTGGATCTTTTGTGTCGGGTCACTTTTATCGAAATTTTGGAAATTTTGTTTAATCACTGGAATAATTTACCAATGTTCCGCAGTATGGAAATGCTCATTTTCCCTTTTGTATACTTAAGGTTGTAACAGCTAGCCAAAGCACTCATTAATCGTCTTAAACTTTTTATTACTTGCCGTTCAAATTAGATTATCGCCACATGTAAACAAAATAAGCGCAAAAATTTGGTTAATAATCTTGTTTTTAACTTATCTAACCACTACAAGTATAAACGCAATGAATGTTCCGCACCATGGACACTATGCTTTCGTGGTAAAGCTTATTAATGTGCGATTACGCGAATCAAATAATACAATAACACGAAAATGTTCGCCCACATAAAAGCAACTCGCAATGGATTTAAATGCACACGTCAATAACCTCGTCGAATTTGAAGCACAGTTTTCTTTGTAATTCAGCATTTAACTTCAACTTTTGCAATAAAAATCTGGCGTGCGATTACGCGGGCTGTTTCATCTTCCTTATACTGTAATTATACGAATTTGTCTTGTTGAAAATGTTACTTTTTTTTAATACACGTAACGGTATAGTAGAAAGTTCGTCCCTCATTCTCAAAAACGGTCTTTAGAACTGGTAACACTGTGGCGTTTTTAGTCTTATCTGCCTTTACACTCACTGCTTATCTGAAAGCGCTTCATTCTCTCGCATTTTTAGTTTTCATCTCTTTCACTATCCAGCGGTGCACGTATACAGTTTTCTATACTGGAAAATCTGTGAATTCCAAATTAAATCTTTCTAATCCCACCCGTTATTTTACTTAGAGCATTATGCCTAAGGCCGCGACAGAATACACTGCTGGAAAGGTGCAAAGACACTCAGAAAAACGTTTAGATTGCTATTCAAGTTCTTGAGAAGGCTCCGAAACACACCTATAAGGCTCTGGAAAAGGCTTAAAAGGATTTGCAAAGCCGACGCTTTGCAGGACATAATATCTAACGTCGCCTTAAAAGACACTAGCACATTTTGGAAAGACGCTAGAAAACTCAGAAACAAGTTTAGATCAACATTCAATTGTTCAATAAATCGTAGTACTTTCAAAGGCACTTTTAAGGCTCTGGAAAGTGCCCGGATTTTCTGGAACTTTACATTCCAGTCTACAGCATCTTTGCTTTTTTGATGCCTTACTAAAGCCGCCATAAAAGGCAGTAGAACGCACTGAAAAAGCGCTAGAGTACTCGTGAAAAAGTTTAAATCGCCAGTCAATTGTTCGAGAAACTGTGAGTGCCTAGGAAAGCTTTAAAATACTCTGAGAGACATAACAATTTGTAAACTGGTTAGACGACTTTCCTTAACTTACGAGACAACGCGATTTTTTTTAATTCTGAAACACTTTGAATCCTCCAGAAAGCGTTCATGAAACTTTACAGAGCTTCTGCAGTGCTTTATAGGAACTTTTCAGGCACCTTACTTGCCTCTTCCCAAGCATGACGAGCCTGTAGGTTATAGGGCACTCTGGAAAGGGCCCACAACGTTCTGATACTACTGGTTCAGAAAAATATGTAAGAGAGACTAAGATATTCTGAAAACAGGGTTGCTCGATCATTTAGGTCCTTAGCCTTCCAGGTATCCTTTACAGTAGGTACCTATAGCCCTGAAGGACTTTGAAAGCTCTACCAAGACTTTTGAAACAATTGAAGTGGAAATAGTATAGTTCCCTAGGGTGCTAAACACGTTTCATGGTCCAAGTTGGATGGAGAGCAAGCCTAGCGCTTTTCCGATTCGTCTTCATAAGCTTATACAAAACTTGTGGGTCAGTGCCTCAGTTTTCCACCCCTCATCAGAGCTTTTTAGGCCTAGCCAAACAAGGCTTAAAAAGACCTAGAAACGGGTCTTCAGTACCTTGAAATGAACTTATGGATCTAGGGAAAGACCCTAGGTGGTTCTGGAAAAGCAACAGAATGCCCTGGAAAGAAAGCTATGGCACTTACAAGATTCTGGCAACTGTTTAACTTTTATGGAATTCGAGTGCTCTTCATTGGTTTCGGACGATTTACAAAAAAAAGTGCCCTAGGCGACTTATTTCCCTCGTTCAAAGCAAAACGAACCTAGGAAGCTCTGGGACTAGGAGGCACTGATACGGCCTAGAAAATTGCCCAATTAGTTTAGAGTGAGAACACGATTGATCGCCCTCAAGCCTTTTTGAGAAGAGCCTTCGAAAATTTTGAAAAGGCTTAGGAGCACATCTGACGCGTTTGAACACCTTTACATAGTCGTCTCGGCTCTCGTTTTAACATTTCTAGATTGGTTTAGCTTCAGAAAGGGGAAAACACTGTGAAAGTTCTATAAAGGGCTTAAGAGAAATTCGGAAATTAATTTTAAAATTTTGCGGTACTAGTCAGGGTCCAAATTTTTTCGAGAGGTTTTAAGTTTTTAATCCTTTCTAGGCTTTTTCAAAATTCCTGGGCGGTTCTCCATTTTCAGAGCTTCATAGGTTCGGCTTTTCCAGGGTATTTTCTAAGAAGGGGTAAATTAGGTTACGGATGTGCTTAAGAGATTGCGTAAAAAGCTTCTCTGTAGGCTATGAAGGTTTCTTAAGCGCTTTCTAGAACATTAATATAAACCTACAGAACATACTAACGCTTTCCCAGAGCTTCTTTTAGGCTACTTTAACTTTTTACAAAATCTCTGGGTCTTAAAACGCTGTGTGACGTCTTACTAAATGCTGATATTTCTGTCGATGACTCTGTTGTTACTTTGTCTCGCAAAAAGATGTAAATTACTTGGTTGGTAATTGTGCCCTTAATAATTCATTCAGTTCACTCAGTTATTCAGCCTTCTAAGGCACTTCTGAGGCATCTTGCTTTCCTTTTCAAAACAAGGCGAGTCTGGGAAGCTCAAGAAAAGAGCTGGAACGTGATAGGTTCAGAAAGCGTTGGAAAGGGGACTAGACAAAAGCCCAAAATTATCAGTTTGAACCACCCCACACACTAAATCCTATTTGTAATGCGAAAGTAACTAAGAGATAATTTTGTCAGATAGGGTTAATGCGCGGAGGATACTTTCTAGCCGAAGAATCTCCCGCAAAACTGCTAAGACAATTCGAAGCAGACACGCTCGAGGATGTCTTCCTGAAGCTTAGCGTAATACAAAACATGGGCCGTCAGCGTCGGTCGAGCATAGCCCAAGCCGTCAGCAGCGTGGTGGGTGTTCCCAATGGAGTTGTCAACGAGGCGGTCATCGTAGACAGCGCGGGGGAAAATAACGAAATATCCGGCGAGTTTGGCGATAATATTTCTTTGAGTGCGAGAAGCACGAGTCGCCTTTCGCTCGCGATATCTGAGGATCCTGGTGATCTGTCCATGTCCGTGGTACCCCCTGAAGACACGCCGCCCGCGAAAATATCAGACTACTTCGTCGTACTGAAAAGCAACCACATGAAGGCGTTAGTTTGGAAAAACTTCCTTGGGATGCTACGCAATGTGGCGATGATGCTGTTTATAACTCTACTACCGGTTGCCCAAATAGTTCTATTTTGCGCTTCGATTGGACACGACCCCGTCTCTCTTCCAATAGCAGTGATTAACCACGAATCGGAAAACAACTGCTCAACACCTCTACACTGTAACAGCACAAGACTGAGCTGCCACTACCTCAACTACCTAGCAAAAAAGGACTTGGTGCTGGTAAGGTTTGTGATAAAAAAAATTGTTACTAATCCCCAGCTTTTAGCACTATTACACTTCGGAGCAGGATGCCAAAGAATCAGTCCGAAAAGGTGGCATGTACGCTTCAATTGCAATCAAGCACAACTACTCATTAGCATTACAAGCTCGAATGGTAGATTTAAAAAATTCGCACCCATGGGACGTTCAGTCATCCGAAATTGACGTTTATCGAGATGTCTCAAGTAAGTAGCCGCATTGCCCAAACTTGCCCCTATTATTCTAAACACTCACAGGTAAAACGATCGCGGAATTTATCAAAGCCTATCTCTACGATACCTTCCAAGAGTTTGCTCAAGACTATTTGGAAGCGTGCGGCTACGACCGACATCTACTCCAGTACCCAATACGAGTAAGCTAATTCTCCAGATGAAGTGTTCCTAATTCCTTTTGCAGATGGAGAAGCCAATTTACGGATTGAGTTCGCCAAATTTCACGGACTTCGCCACGCCGGGTATCATATTAACGTAAGTGTGACAAAAGCCTCTACCAGATACTCAAAAAAGTTCTTTAGAGTGATATTTTTCCTGGCCGTCGCGCTAACTTCGGGCGCAATGCTGATCGAACGTAACGAAGGAAGTTTGGAGCGATCATTGGTGATCGGAATTGGTGGAGTCGAGTTGCTAACCGCACATGTGATATGCCAATTTGTCATTATGGTCATTCAGTCGATCATGGTCATGGTGGTTGCGTTCGCCCTTTTTAATATGACGGTAACTGGATCGCTGGTTCTTGTCACAATTCTCACGTTCATGACCGGCTTCTGCGGGATGTGTTATGGTAAATTTAGAAATGATTGTATCTCAAAATTAATCCATTTCCTAGGATTCGTGGTATCCTGCTTATGCAGTGATGAAAGAGCAGCGACCTACGTGGCCATGGGCAGTTTTTTACCAACGGTGATGCTCTGCGGAATTATTTGGCCTTCGGAAGCAATGCATTATTTGTTGAGGACGTTCGCCATATTTTTACCACTCACAAAAGCAACCGAAAGCATGAGAAATATATTGCAAAGGGGGTGGGACTTTTACGAACCCGCAGTTTATGTGGGTTTTATCTCTATAGGTACCTGGATTGTCATTTTTCTTACAATAAGTGTTTTATTTTTAAAGTTTAACAAGGGATAACAGATTACACACAGTATTACTGTTATTTAAAGTGATATAATAAACTATTTTACACTGTTATGTAATGTCTACCTAATTTATAATTACAAGATCACGGTGTTCAGTACGAATTAGTGGAGATTTGTTAAGCCATTGATTATTGAATAAGAACGTTTTGTACCTACCTACTTCGTATGTTGAAATTTAAAAAAATTGATACCAGAGTAGAGTTTTATTAACCATCTAACATCGTTCATACTACTACATAGGATAATCGGGAGGGAGGCCAATATTTAGAAGTAGTCGGTCGTCTGTGAAAGTATGTACTATCAATTCCATAGAAAAAAAGATTTGTGGCCCATAACCTTTGATGAAGGGGTCCAATGGACAAAATACGAGACGTTTTGAATTCTACGCAACAAAATTAATAAGAAAAAGTGTTTTCCCGAGAAATTTTGGTGGAGTCGATTTTTGGTAAAAAAGGAAGGTGCCTTTTTTTGAGCCTCGAAAAAAAAATTGTCTCAGAACGACCGGGAAAAAAGATTTTCTTATAGAATGTGGCCTGTAGAATCCACAATTTCAAACAGTTCCAAGATTGGGCTACTAGTACCTACAAAAAATTCAGCCCTTTGAATTTTCTTTCGAAATTGGTTTCTAGTCCATAACTTTTGATTGAGAAGTCTAATCGAAAAAGTACGAATCGTTTTGGATTCTCCCCCCCAAAATTAATAAGAAAAAGTGTTTTCCCGAGGAATTTTGGTGCAGTCGATTTTTGGTAAAAAAGGACGGTTAACCACTGCCTTTTTTTGAGGCCCGAACAAAAAATTGTCTCAGAACGACCGGGAAAAAAGATTTTCTTATAGAATGTGGCCTGTAGAATCCACAATTTCAAACAGTTCCAAGATTGGGCTACTAGTACCTACAAAAAATTCAGCCCTTTGAAAGGTTCCACCCTGTATATACAGCTTACGACGATACATACATTTTTGAGAGTTGGCAACCATGCAATTTCTAGGTGGGAAAAAAAAAGTTGCCTGCGCCACCTAGAAAGCACGAACGGGAGTTACGTTTGGCATCCTTGAATGGAGGTAGTGAACGTTTCGCTCCATAAATGTTTGTTGTTATTTTGTGTTATTTAATGCAGGTAGTAATTTTTGCATTTCTTTATATCGTATTTGTGCTTTGTATGCCGCATTTTATATTTGTTGTGTGTTTGAATCTCTGTTTTTGAAATTTACTTTGTTTAACCGCAATGCAATCATATGTGTGATACCGTTATGCTATGTTTTTTAATTGTTTACATTTTTGGTGTAATGTTTGCTTAATTTATGTTTATTGATGTTGATTACTTGGTCTTGTCCTTGAAGTTACATTCATATAAGTTTTCATTTTATTTTAATACTTATGTGGAAATTGCTGATTCGTTTGATGTATGTACTGACTTGTTGTATGTTACTAACAATTTTCTCCGTGAATGAAGCAGTCTCGGCAAGGTGGAAAAAGAAACTGTAGTCTATATTTATGTGTTAGGGCACCTAATTCCGTGCACTGTCTTCGACATCCAACTGTAGGTTCGAAACCCCGAAACCAGGGGCGGACTACCCATCTTGCAGGAGCGAGATTACACTAATCAAAGCTCTTCAGTTTAGAATCTATGTGTGATAAATGAGTGGCGATTCAATAATTTCCACATATTTTGTTTTTAGTCAAATTTGCCTACAAGGCCATGTATAGTTTTCCATCTTGCTTTCAACAAAAGGACTTTATTGCACCAAAGATGAGTCACATCCTGTACTTTTAACCCTTTCTCAGAATCTTGGTAACTGCTTCTACCTGACCCATTGTCCCCAAAAACTTGCTTTTAACCTTGAGTGTAACCATCCTTGTGTATATGCATTTACTATCTTTGTTAACTACTGCTTAAACTTTTACAAAATATTTTGTTAATTAACTTTTGGACTGTTTTAATCAAACTGCAAGGTTTTTCTTACGTCGTACTCTTTTTATCCTTGGCAGTGACTTTTGCGAGAGTACGACACCTTTTGGCTTTGTTTGTTTTGTTTATATTAATGTACATCAACTAAATTTCCGGGTTTTCACAATCATAATAATTACGATCATTATTAAACAAACTTTTCACAATTTCAGTGTTTTATTTAACGTTCCTTCCCTACTGTGCTTCAGGTCAAAGCGTTGTCTATAACTAACGTAAGGGGGCCCTGCCTTAGATGTTTTATCACGTGCCACTTTTCAAATTTAAGCGGGATCTTGTTTAGTTTTGGAGGGAATAGTCATTCGGGTGTCCATTTTTAAACGTTGCCGGGTTGATTTTATTTCCGTGTTCTTGTAGTGTGAAGTTAGCGTAGGACCTGGGGGGGGTTAAGTACACAAAAGTTACAGCCCTTTGAATTTTCTTTCGAAATTGGTTTCTAGTCCATAACTTTTAATTGAGAAGTCTAATCGAAAAAGTACGAATCGTTTTGGATTCTCCCCCCCAAAATTAATAAGAAATAGTGTTTTCCCGAGAAATTTTGGTGCAGTCGATTTTTGGTAAAAAAGGACGGTTAACCACTGCCTTTTTTTGAGGCCCGAACAAAAAATTGTCTCAGAACGACCGGGAAAAAAGATTTTCTTATAGAATGTGGCCTGTAGAATCCATAATTTCAAACAGTTCCAAGATTGGGCTACTAGTTCAAAAGTTACAGCCCTTTGAATTTCTTTTCGAAATTGGTTTCTAGTCTATAACCTTTGATTGAGAAGTCTGATCGAAAAAGTACGAATTGAT